CCGACGCTCCCGCCTCGCGGGTGCAGCGGCGGCTCCGGGGCTCGGGCGCGCCGCCCAGAGCAGCCCAGGGACGCTGGCCTCCGGCCTCTCTGCACTCGCTTCAGCCGGGGAGCCTTCTCCCTCGCCCCCAAAGTTTCTGGGTTCGTTGGAATTTGGGGATTCAGGATTTTTTCCTTTTTTTTCCACCTAGGAATTCGAGGGGAAAACTTTTGCCAAATCGATTGCACTTTCTGTACGCTGGCTCTCTGTCCCCCTTCTTTTTTCGAGTAGGGGAGGGGGCTAACGAGAGAGGCTCCCGCTGGGCAAAGTTTTCCAAAGTTTTCCGAGTGTGATGGTTGCGGGGAGAGGTAATCCATCAGCTTGATTCACGGCTTCGTCTCATCACTCCTCGAGCAGCCCCTAAACCCGCTATAAGGGAACAAACAAACAAACAAACAAACAAAGTTACACTCCGAGTCGTCTCGTGTCTTCTCTCTTTTCTTTTAGGCGTTTCCCCCTCCCTCTCTCCGCTCCCCTCGCAGCCTCCACCTCCCTTCCCTCGGCCCCTTCCTCCTCTCTGTTTCGGCTGGAGGTGCCGGGACCCCTGGCCGCAGCCTCCCCTCCCCCGCCGCTCCCGTCCCTTCTCGTCCGGCCCTCCCTCCCCCGCCGCGACCGGCACAGCCAATCCCCCGAGCGGCCGCCAACATGCTCTTTGAGGGCTTGGAGCTGGTGTCGGCGCTGGCCACCCTCGCCGCGTGCCTGGTGTCGGTGACGCTGCTGCTGGCGGTGTCGCAGCAGCTGTGGCAGCTGCGCTGGGCTGCCACCCGCGACAAGAGCTGCAAACTGCCCATACCCAAGGGCTCCATGGGCTTCCCGCTCATCGGAGAGACCGGCCACTGGCTGCTACAGGTAAGGGCACACTCTCTACGCTGCTCTCGCGGGTCCGCTAGCCGCGAGCGCTGGGCTGGCGGAGCGGCGGTCCGGCCAGGGCGCGCCGGGAGCCTGAAGGCACTGGTCCCCGCCCCGCCCCTTCCCTCCTCTCAGCCGCGGCGCCCCGGCTTCCACTGCCCGCCCGAGGCGTGGTTCCGAACCCACTGGCGCCTGGTGCGCAAGTTCAGGGAGAGGATAAGAGGTCCCCGATCCACGAAGGCCCCCAGGACGGACTTTTCCCAGTCTCGGGCGACCCAGGAGGGGGCGTGGAGCGTATTGGGGGGCTCCCCATCCCGCAAAGGGGTGTCAGGATGCGACCCGCTTTCGCCTCCCTAAGAGCTCCAGGCCCCAGCGGCTGTCGGATTCCTGGGCTTTGGAGGTGTTGCTGGGACCCGAAAACTGAGCGGGGAAGAGGAGGAGGAGGCCAGGGGCAGCCAGAATCGCCCCCTTTTACCGCCGGGGCTGGCTGGGTTCCCGCCGCGTTGTTGGTTATGCCAGGTACCAGTGCCTTGGTCCACGCTCCGAGAAAGTATGTGTGTTTTGTGGTGGGAGAGGAAGGAGGTACCCGAGGAAAATGAAAAGCTTGAGACCAGAGAGTTCTTGGCTTTCGGAGAAAAGGGTCATTTACTTATTGGGTGGGGACACTTTAGCAGGGGAAAGAAACTTGGGAGAGGTGTGTGTGAGTTCCATAGAGAGAGTGCTTATGTTTGTTGTTAGACACCGCACAATCCCACTCCGCTGGTGATGAGGGTGGGCGCGTCGGAGACCTGACTCAGGTACGTAATGGGGACATTAAGTTTAAATTAACCCTATAAAATGCTAGACAATATCTTTTTCAAGATGCACACCAGATTTTTACTTGGGGGGGGAGGGGTGGCTCTGGGTTAACCACGGGAGGTGTGTTAGGTGTTCGCTTGCACGCCTGTTAGTCGGGAGGATGCTGACGGGAATTGGGAGATGGATCGACGCCCTGAAGCAGACACAGGAGAGGTGAGGCGGGAGGTGGACGCGGAGACCTTTGGTTTTAGAAGTGCGAAAGCTTGGCTTGAAATTAACAGACGCGTGCAATCCGCGCGCACACACAGACACTCCGCCCCGTCCCGCCCCGTGCCAAATGTCAGTGGAGCGGGGGCTGAGACCGAGACGCGAGGTGCCTCTGCCCTGGGGTCGTCCGAAGTCCTGGAATCAGCCCATCTCTTTTCAGGGTTGTTCGTGCAACGGGGTGGGGTTCGCGTCAACCAATGGGACTATTCCCGAAAAGAAATTCAGAGCCTCTTCCGTGCCACCACACGTAAAGGGTTAACTGCAGTGGTGGTCTAGGCTTTTGGCGGAGAATTTAGGAAATAAAATAACTCACTTGGGCATTGCTTGGCCTTCTTAAGAGTCAATGGGCGGAATCCGCTCTCTGTCACTGCCCCCCTCCCTTACCTGACCTTACTCTGCACCCCCATGCCCCCTTGACCTCCTCCGAATCCCACAAGGGCCCCTGGGGCTTGAGTCTAACCTGAATTTGGGGAGAAGGGAGCAAGTTTGTGCTTCCCCATTCATTCGCCCCGGGAGCCTTAGATTTTGCAGTGGGAGGGAAACAGGGGTAGGGGTGCACGTTGGGGGAGCGCTGAAGGGGTTAATGGAAGCCCTCTGAATCCTAGCTTTATTTTTTCGGAGCCATTTATCAGATTTTACGGGGGGGACCTCCAAGGGCTCTCCGTTTCCACTGTGCGCCATCTAAACAGAGCCCAGGGCTAAAAATACAACATTTTTGTATAAATTGGACTCGCGGCCCGAGCGGCCGCCCCTATGAAAGTCCTCTTTGTGAAGACCGTGGAAACGGCGGACAAATAACTCTTTATTAATGCCACAAAAAACGCACTTTAATTATAGTTAGGCAGATCAGAAGCGGGGGGGCGGGGAGAGGCGGGAGAGAGGCGGCGGCGACCTCGGAAAATTCACAACCCAACTTTTGTGTCGAAAGAAAAGGAAAACAGAGGAAAAGACGGAGAGGAGAGACGGAGAGTCAGACGGAGCGAGGGAGACGGGTATAGCAGACGGAGGGAGGGAACCCCGCTCCTCACCCCCCCTTCTTTGTCGCACCTCCACCCTAGCCTTGATTTCTCTTAAAGGGGTAGACGCCGTCTAGAGAGGCGGCAGGGTGGGGAAACTTCTGCCTGACCACCAGCCTGGGAGTGAGGCCGCGTCCTCCGCGGCCCAGCCCCCTTTCTGGAGACGCAGGAGCTCGGGGCTCGCTCCCTGTCGCGCGCCGGGGCCGGAGGCGCATGTGGAAAAGTGATTAGAAATCCGGGTTCTGCAGAGTCACTTTTCGGCAGTGCTGGGGTGTGTACATTTCTAGCTGGAGAATACTTTTCCGTGGAAGAAGGGAAAGTGGGGAGGAGGGCCAACCACGGAAAGGGGGGAGTCGAGTTGTCCTTTCGGGGGTGCATGACCCACGAGTCTTGTCGGGTAGGCCGAGGGCCGGACAGGTGTCTCCCCTTCTCATTCCGTGCTGCCCTGGCAGGAAAAGGGTTAATGTGGGGTGGGGTGGTGAGCGCCTACGTCAAAGGTGAGCAGGACGCCCCTGCCCCCGCCCCTCGGAGGTCCCCTCGGTTTCCGGTACCCGCGCGGGGCCGGCACTGAGCCCTCAACTCTGTGCGCCAGGCCGGGCCGGAGGCCTAACCATCCTGAGCTCGCGCCGCCGCTGCAGCCGCCGGGGATCCGGTTACCTGCCACCGCCGCCCCGCCCGGCCCCTCCCCGCCCCACGGGAAGCGCCTTCCTCTGTGCTCCCTTTCCAAACTTCAGGGCGGCGACGAAAAGTCCCTTGCAATTATTCCCAGGGCAAACTGCGGCTCTCGGCCCGTGACCCTACCCTTTAGAGCCCTCTCATTAGGGTCGCCGGGTCCCTTCGTCGCCCATTCCCGAGAACGGAGGAAACACCAACCCCCATCAGTAGTGACTGCCTCCGGGCACCGACCGCTCGCCGCTATAAATAATCTTTGGCTTGCGGCCACCCCGCGGGGTCTCGCCAGCCGGTGGCCGTAAGCCTGGAAATATTTATTCCGAGAGGCTCCGAGCGCTAGGCGAGGAGGTGGGGCGGGTGTGTGTGTGCCTAACTTCGGATCCCGCTGTCGGGGATACCTTTTCCCTCCCGCAAGTCATTACTACAAAACAGCCTTCCGCGGGTGCCCCCTGGGCTTCTCCTGGCATTATTTATTATCCTCTAGGCCCTGCTTCTCAGTTCTTGAGCGTGCTATAAAAACAAAAAACAAAAAGCAAACCTATGTGAGTGTCTGCGGGGGAGGGCAGGGATGGGCCCTCAGTCCCTCTCCCTGGTCTCTAGAGACTGGGCCTCCAACACATTCCACTGGAGGTGTGCGACCTGAGAAAGATTTCTTGTGTGGCTCCCTCAGGGTTCTGGTTTCCAGTCCTCGAGGAGGGAGAAATATGGCAACGTGTTCAAGACTCACTTGTTGGGTAGGCCGCTGATACGCGTAACCGGCGCGGAGAACGTGCGCAAGATTCTCATGGGCGAGCACCACCTCGTGAGCACCGAATGGCCCCGCAGCACTCGCATGCTGCTGGGCCCAAATACCGTGGCCAACTCCATTGGCGACATCCACCGCAACAGACGCAAGGTAAGAGCCTCGCAGCTGTACTCTGACCCTCTTCTTCCATCCACCCGCTCCGAGTGAGGAGTTGTCAAAGCTCCGGGGACATCCCCGCAGGAATCTGTGCCCGCGTCGGCACACCAGGTTAGGGACTCCTGCAAATCCTCGCCCAGATGGTTCTGAGTCCGGGCGGACCCACTGGGTCTGCCCTTTTGCATGGCGCCGACGTGAGCACCACCAGGCAGGACCGAGCTTTAACGTGAAGGGAAGTAGAGCATTGAATGCCTGTCCCTGCCACACCCCCATGAAACTGGAAAAAGAAGAGTGTGGATGGTAACCGGCATTCCCCCTTGCTCCCCGTTTCCTCCGGGAATCCCGAAGACAGAAGGGAAATCAGTGGGCATCTCGTGGGCAGCGGCTAAAGGCCCTGCCTGGTAGGGACTAGGTGACATTTGGACCATTGTGAGCACCGGTTTGGAAGGTGGGGTTAGGTGCAGGTTTGGAAGAGCAGCCCTAACGCGGGCGGGGAACAAATTCCCCTCCTCCCTCCAGCCCCCACCAACTCCCCCCAGCCCCATACAGAGGAAAAGAAAGTGGGTGTTGATCCTGTGGATTTCCCGAGCGCCTGAAAAGAGCTGCGGAGGAGGCGAGCCAGCGCGCACGGAGCGGTCCTCCCCGCCCCCTCCCGGCGCTGC